AAAATGCATCTGCCCCAAGTAGCAGATCTATGCGTTGCGGCCGATGGAATTGCGGATCTGCCAATTCACAACCGTTAGGCACGTCAACGTCTACTACCAGTTTTTCAGGCTGGTACGAAGAAATGTTATTTAACACTGCGAATTCTGCCGTCAGCTCAAATTTGTCAATTCGAGAAGCTATAGAAGTTTGAACGATATGACGTACTTCAGACTTTCGTTTGCCTATGCCTAATAAACAAATGTCTTTGCGCTCCCTCTTAAGCTTTAGGACTCTGGCCAAGTCCTCGGTCATAAAATTGACCTGCGAACCAGAGTCTAAAAGTGCCCTGGCTAATTGGTAGGAACCTGACTGGTCCATTACCTTAACAATTGCTGTTGCTAAGATTACTTGGTCAGTCACTGTCGTGGCGTGGTTTACCGCCGACGTTTGCGTTGGTACTGCCGATTGTGCTACCAACGTGTGACTAGAAGCCGCAGCTTGCGAAATGTTCGAACTACATTCGTACTTGTGCAAGAGCGTGTGATGCGGCTTCGAACAGACTCTGCAACAACCAGACTTGCAGGATTTAGTCGTATGACCCTTTCGCAAACAGTTTATGCACAACTGGACCCGTTTCACAAATTTAAAACGCTCATCTCTAGCGATCGCTGAAAATTGAGGACATACTTGTATGTAGTGGTCATTCGACTGACAAAACGGACACTTAGGGGTCAATGGCTGACTTGGCTGTGCTACTGCCAACGCCGTTTTACCATTCCTTTTTGACCCATCGGAACTTGGCTTCTTAGGCCGGCCAGACGATGCCTCCTCAGCAGACAGATGCTGGTAGCGTTTATTAAGAGTGTCCTCGCATTCTTCCCAAGATGGAAGTTGACTGTAGTCAAGGCCCTCTTCCCATTTGGATCGAGTGATGGAGTCAACTTTACCCATAACCAAATGTATGAGAATGACGTTCGCTATTTGCTTCTCATCACCCAATGACAACAGCGATTCATAAATTGCCCTTACATTATCTATTAGGGAACGCAAAGATGAAGCAGACGGCCCTTGCATTTTGGGCAAGTCGAACAGCTTGGACACGCTGTCGAAAACGATTAGGCAACTATTGTCATACACTCGTTTTAATGCTGCTAGCGCCTTTGGATAATTGGCATCAGTCACTTGATAAGCTTTGACTGTGCCAAGCGCTTCTTTGTCCAAACAAGAAAGCAAGTGATTAAATTTCTCTATGTTCGTCAGAGATGCGTCATGGTCAACCAAGTTTTCGAACAGACCAATGAAATTTTTGTACTCCGAATAATCGCCACTGAATTTTGGGAGTTTCATCGACGGCAGCTGCTTGCTATGGCAACCTGATCCAAACATTGTAGAGTTTGCCAGGCTATCCCTATGAGGCTTAGGCCGAACACCTTTACTCATGAGCAGCGTTTCTGTCGTGACGCACAAATTTTCTAAATCTGCTCTTGAGGCTAAGGCCGGATCGATTTGATCCAACTCTTCCTGCAGATTGAACGCTCTGTCAATATATCTGGTTAAAATTTTCAACCGGCACTCCATTTCAACAGACTCAATGGGCTTAGTGGCATTTTGCACGGAATCTTTAATGCGTTCTATATCTCTGACAACATTGTTGTGTGATTGCAATAATGCATCGAACTTGCTCGACTCCAAATCATCCGACAGCTTGCCGTAAGTTTGCTTGCTGCGTTTTGATGGCATGTTTGTAGCGAGTCTTTAAATGTTTGCACACGACTAAAAGTGTATAAATGTATAATTGGACTATGTCCAGAAAAATATACACAATGTACAAAAATATACACAAATGTATACACTGTATACTATTTGCAAGAAAGCGCAGGCGCAAAGTTTTAACTTTGTATGATAAATAAATGTAATGTCTACAGTTGTGGCCAGCACTGTACGCACGTATAAACCTATGTATGTACGCAACTATGTTAACAGCAGCTGACAAATAACAGAGGCGAGAGACGCGCAGCTGTTAGAATTAATGTTGAACAAATGCACACTGCACGATAGCAGCGAACCCACGCAACAACAATATGTCCGTAAGGGAAACGAATGACGTCGACGCTAGCTGAGCGACGCACGTCGACGGCTGAACTTGCAAGCAACGCAAGCAGCGCAAAGAACAATTAGAACAACAAGAACCACAGCGCAATTAGCAATTAGTCCAGCAACAACAATGCACAAGCAAGCGAAATTGTCTCTAGCTTGCAGTTGCTAGACCAGTGCGGCAATAACGAAGAGAGCGCAAAAGGCAGAATCCAAAATCAAACGGCATAGAAGAAAGGCGCGCTGAACTCTAACTTTGGCGCTTTCAAATTCTTGCGGTACGTTGGTATAATAAAGGTCCAAAGTACAGCAGCTATACGTACATATATACAGCGCAAATGTATATACATAGGTATTTATATATGTGTGTATATATACATGTGTGTATGTATGTTGGCAACTTTGCATGTATGTATGACCAAATGAAAAATTATGCACTCACGTACCAACAAATGTATATTCAACTTTATTTATTTAAAAGTTTACTGCATGTATGTATATGGTATATGGTAAAACAAATCGAATGCCAACATGTAAATTGCGGCCTAGTCATGCGAAAGCATTGAACGCATACAATCACATACATATGTGCCTTTATAGACAATTAACATATGGATGTACATATGTATGTGCCAATTCCAATCAGACAGATTTGGCCGCTATTTAATTTGCACTCGTTACCTGTGTATAACTTCCCTGTGGAATTGGGCACTGCATCGCCAACAACCGCAAATAGGAAAGTCCAACCAAATCTCCAGATACACAACCAGATGGCAGGAATGACTCCAGACCCAATGTCCAGTGTCCAACAAGTCACCACGATGAGTCCACCCGGGGGCGCCACAATGATCGCTCAGATCATGCAAAGTTGCCGGTAGGCAAAGTGAAGGGGTCCCTCGTCGCGACGATCAACTCAAAGATATATGTATATAAGTACACTTGTACTTATATGCACGAACGCACTGGCTTATGTACACTGAAGAGCACCGAAACGAAAGAAAGTAAACTGCACCAATCGACTTCCAATTTTCAAGTGCTTTATTGCTAGCCATGCAAGGCTTAGCATACGCATAACATAATGTGGACATTAACTTAACAGCGACCAAGAGACTAACATAAACAGCTGTTATTACAAATTAACATTTATGACTTATATTTACGGCTTAAGTCTACAATTCAATGATAATTCAAACAACTTATATCTACAATTCAGATTATTTCAACAAACTTAAATCTATACTTAAGTATATAGGCATGAAATGCCCATACACAGTTACTCCTGCATGCAACTGAAAATATATTGTTACATGTGGATCAGCATAGGGAGCAGATTTGGACACGGCTCTCCCACTAATTAGTTGGCACTTGACGTCTAACAATACGAATAAGCCAAATGTAAATAGTAATTAGGCCAATTTCCAAACTTAATATTACTTCTGTAGATCGATAAAAGACACTTCTACTATACTGCACAGGATGATTCAAATACTGGTTTCTCTTTTGTGGTCCATATAGTGTTTTCTTTTAAAAAATGAATGAAAGTCCATTATTTTGCGGTGTGTTTATTGGTTTATTCGAAACAGCAAACATTCCCATTACTTATGGAATACTATTCATGTCGCTTGCGTGCCAGTAGTGCATCCTGTTAGTCCATTTTTTCCCGACCCTGGTATGACTTGCTCGATAAGCCCCTTAAGAACTTGAATCCTTATGATATGATTGAACTAAATGGACCACGCTATAGACTTTTTAAACAGCAATTGCACAGACCGTTTAAATAGTTTGACTGTGTGGTACTACAGTCATAGCATATTTGAGTTTTTCAGAATAGACTAAAAAGAATCTTATATGTTACTATACTTAATTTGCCCTTTCAATATTCGGACTGGCGATATTTCTATCAAGAAAACAGGTTTACATACAATGTCTCTGGGAGAAGTTTCAAGTTGAAACTTTCAACTTAACAGTCAGTAAGTAATGTTGCTTTTTGATTAATCTGGATTAGTTTCGATTAGCCTATATGTATAGAAGCGTTTCAAAAATAATGTTAATTCGGGATTACATTAAAACATTAAATACAAACTATACTCGTTTATATCATGTGGTCAGTTGGCTTTTATGTTCATATACCATTTTATTGTAAATGTATGTAACACTAAGAGGCGACTTGACAGACCCCCTAAAGAACATATGTTCTTAATTAAGTACGACAAGACGAATCGATATAACCGTCTGTCTTGCTATTTATGCAATGTAATTTATGCCATTGAAAAAGTACATCAAATTACGGGTACAGGGTATTTAAGAGTTAGGCCCGCTCGACTTTAACATTATATTCTTCTTTTTTATTAAAGCCGGGGGCTCTTTTAATGATGTTTTCCTTAAAAATTATTGTGGAATATTTTATCTTTGCAAGAAGGAACATTTTCTTTAAATTAATTCTAAAATAACTTTAGCACAACTTACATCAAGTTCATCATAAACTGCTTAAAAGAATGAGTTGTGCGCACAAGTTTTGGCTCGACATGTTTGAAGTCCTTTTCTTAGTAGTTACCGAAGAGCAGCTCGAAATAATGCGACTAATAGTGATTAGCATTAAATGGCATTAAATAATAATGGTAAGATGTAAAATCATAAAACCTAGCTTTTTTAAAACTTTCAGATGGGTTCTGACCAAGAACATTAAGTTCATCCAGTTGGCTGCATGGCACACACTACATATGTTCACTGGGTTTTCTGCGAATGGTATTTTTGTGCTCTCGGTTCGCTCAGGCGCTGTCTGGTGCTGCCGCAGCAGAGGTTGCTCGCTCGCATCTCTGTCGTCGCCAGTTCAGTTCGCGTTGAGCAGTCGAGGCAATCGGTTCGTGTATTTTGTGTGCGGCTAAGATATCATCCAATGTTTACGGCCATGTGAAGTCAAAGCCAAATCTTACGCATACGCAAAGATACAAATTTGTCGTTTACGTCGACGTCGTCGCCGTCGTCTTCATTGTTGTCGCGCTTTCGGGCGCGCATTCAACAGTTTGATAAATATATATGTTTATTATAATGCTTATGCGTCGGCAACGATTTGGGCGCTGATAACGCAAATAACAAGTGACAGCCCAATATTGCGTGGTAAGGGCTTAAAGAAAATGCGTTTACGTGTATAGTTGAAGTGCAAGTCTGACTTAAATACTAAAAATAAAAACACAAATATTTAGTGCAATTGGAGCGCAAACTATTTGCCTTTTTATCAGCAAGATTTTTTTACGTGCCGCGGGGCACTCAAATTATATTTACATTTTATCGTATTTATTTTTGTAACGGCCCGCTTCTTGTTCTGTTGCTTGCAGATGCTCTTTTCTGTTTTTTTTTTTTACTGTTGTTGTTGTTGTTGTTCTTGTGGTTGGTGCTGCTGTTGCTGCTGCTGCCTAACCCGTTTATGTTTTACTTGACTTGGTTACTCCAATATAGACAAACAGAGACACGCACATACAAACAATACATCAAGTTGTTCTGCTGGTTGAGCCTTAGTCTGAGCCTCGGCCTGCACCAAAAGCAGCCAGATAGCCAAACAGGCAGGCAGCTAGCCAGCCAGCCAGCCAGCCAGCCGACGGCCAGCACGCTCTGTATCTGCAAGATACTCGAACTCACACACATATACAAGTAGTACGAGTGCTGTGCAGCAGATCGTGTATTGTGCACAGTGCAGTGTGCCTTCTTTTCCTTATTGACTGACTGCAATGTTTATTTTTGTTTGCTGCTTTTCGTTGGCAGCAAGCGGGAAAAACAAGTTTTTCCTTTTGAACGAAAACCAACTGCGACGCAGTTTACTGGAAAATCTTGTGAAAAGTTCAAGTGAAGCAAACTGTTGCAGCATTTTGAACCTGTGCTCGCCATAGGCAAAATAATTTGGTGGCATTCAATTATGCAAATTTATTGTTCAAATAAAACTAAAGAAAGCCCAAAACAAACCAAATTCTGAAAGAAAAATGTGCGTATCTCATGATTATTAGTTGCTTGAGGGAAAATAATCTACACTCTCAACTTGGGCATATACATGGCATGTACATATTGAAACCGGGCAGCGATTTTAATGATGTCGTTAATCAACAGTTTGAACAGAATGTTGTAATTAGCGACTGTCGCGCCAAAAGCATAACGAAGTTGTCAAGATCCGACCAAGCTCTGGAAACAACAACAGCAACAAAAGCGACTTAAGTCGTCTGCATTCTGTGAAAGTTTTTGGCACTCGCATTTAAATCTGTTTGTGTATTAAAAAAAATTAATTAGCTGCTTCAAAAATATGTAAAAAAAAAGAAGAAACACACACTAAGGGCTGCAAGCATATTGTGTGGAGAAATTCTCGGTATATGGCAATAAATTTTCAAATCAAGAGCGAATTGCCCGCAACAAGTGTTTTCCATGTGTTTGTTTGTGTGCGAAAAGTCGCGTCTATTTTTGTTCTGTTATGCGATGCCAATTTCCTAAAGTGATTCCCCAACTTCCCGGCTGACCACTCTCTCGCTCTCCTTAATTTAGCATGAAATCCAATCAACTTGTGGAGTTTTTGTGAATCATTCGTGAAATAACGACCGACCGCAAAGTATTGCACATTTGAAATATTAGACATTAAAAGACCAACCACAAGATGGGCTTCTCATCAGCCCTGCAGGGCCGTGCCGCGCACGAGGCCTTGATCGTGCGCCAGGACGCCGAACTCCGACTCATGGACACCATGAAGCGCTCCATACAGATGAAGGCTAAGTGCGACAAGGAATACGCACTGAGTCTAGCCGCTGTCGCCCAACAGGGTTTGAAAATCGATCGTGCTGATGAATTGCAAGGTGAGCAAATGCTATATCAAGATATCTCAAGAGTGTTGAAGCTGTTAGCTCTAGAAACTTTTTGTGTAGGGTTCAAAAGTTGAAAAATAATATATATATTAAACGTACATATTGGATTTTCGGATTTTTTTTAAATCTACAGTAAAAAATATGTAAAATAATTACTTCAAATTTTCGCCAACCTTTCGAAGTGCTCTAATGGTTTGTTTTTACTGATTCTGACTCGTAGAAAAATAAAAGCAGAAAATAGTTTATTGTCGAATTACTCTGTTTATTTATCATTGATATCAAATCAAAGAAAATACATATATATTGATTGTAAATAACTGAATTACTCATACATCCATGTGCATTACAAATTGTGAGAAGCTGTAGTTAACTCAAAAAACTTCGCTCCACCTTTTAAGAAAGCTAATGATTTAATTGAGATATTACATAATATCTTGATTATCAATATACTACATAATAGTTTCGGCATGAATGTTTGACGCGACTCGGAGGAAGTATGGATATATGAATGTTTAAAGCAAATAGGGAAGAAGGGACTAAGGAAGTGTGGATATACAAGGTATGTCAACCACAAAAGATTTAAAGGAAATTAATTTGATTTTTTTGCTCGTACCGGACTTTTGTATCTGATCTCAAAAAATTTGAAAACGAATATGCTTTGCGGTACACTCAAGATATTAACGAATTTTTGAATCCAAACGACATAGTTAATAATTTAAGTAAATTGGTAAATGAAGATTTGAACATACAGATTTCATAGGTTTTAAATGTTCAATAATTCAATATTTTAATTAATATTGATTCCAATCCATTGAAATTATATTTTTGATCTAGCAGTTTTTTTAGTGCTTATTTTGAAAAAGTAGTTTTGTAACCGGTATTATTAATTTAAATACAAGCTTTCAGCTCTTTCTGTGCATTTGAGTTAAGATGCGATATGTGGACAATGATGTCGTCTTTAATCCTTAAGCGCTGTTATACTTGTATATACAGTTCCATCTTATCTATAATCCAAAATATTAAACCAACAGATAGATATACGAGTATATCAGCTATAAGTACGTATGATAAGCCTGACCAGATAAAACCCGACTGATGACGGGTTTTAAAATAAGAACTTCCCCCAGCCCGTGCACTATCGATAGCTTTCTAATTGAAGCGTTATCTGTTCCTCTTTAAAAGGCCACTTGCATAATTGCCTTCATAGTCGGTTATCAATTGAGCTTAACTTTCCCATTAGTCACTGCATAAGGTCGCAGAGTATAGATGCATCGAAAGGTTTATGCCCCTAGCCAGCTGTACACACATATATACCCTTCTTCAATTGTGCCTGTGTGGCAATTAGGCACAAAGGCTAGGTCTGTCGATGGGATAGTTGGATGGTCTGCTGTCTGCCGATATGTAGTTAAGTGGCTAAAGCGTAACGCGCTAGCGGGCGGATGTGCCAAATAGCTTTCACTTTCGCAGCTTTTAGTCCAACCGAGGCCGCGTTGAAGTCCGTTCCAATAAACGACTGTGTCAACCAACTCATCCAATGCCGATGGCTGGACCAACGCGAAGTGGAAGTGTGCATCTGATGCCAGCTGGTCAGTCAACCCAGCCGGTGACAATACGAGTATACTCGTATGCCGCATAGGCGTTGCTGGCGTTCATAGTTACAATCACTATTTATACGTATGTATGCATACGAGTATATACATACTATACTGTTGTTGGTGTTGGTCGGTGTGAATTTGTGCAGCCGGCTTTATGGAGGGGAGTGAGGGTGCAGTGGCGAGCTAGAAGTTGGGCAATCGCGTGACTTGATCGCATTTAAAAGTGAATACGTGTGAGTTTTATTTCGGACGATTTGAGATAATGACGCGAAATCGCCCAGACGTACAAATTGTTTTCCACTACTGCTTGCCGGCAGACAATATATAATACGGCTGTAAGTGTGTGTGCATGTATGTATCTATGTTTATGTGTGTGTGCTTGTTTTCCCAGCCAGGACGCAGATACTGGCATCTGACTGTTGGCTCGCCTGTTATCTGAGCCAACACTCGTTCATATAATATACACATGTATGTATGTATGTGTATGTAAGAGTACACATATGCTGGTAATTGCGCTCAGAAACGACGAAACGTTTTGGCGTGCGCAACTTGTACGAGCATCTCAAAGATACTTTGCACTATAGCTATACGGGTGCATTGCAACTTGCAATCTAAGCTCGTCAAAGTGTCGACAGAGTGCAGATGGCAGTCTAATGCAGGCTGCTCCCTCACTCAATCCATGTAGGCATGTGAGTGTATAGGAATAATTGCTATCATTTTCAGTGTCAGCTTGCTCGCAGACCAAAATCGTTTTGTTTACTTTACGCTCAAAAGTATCTGCTAGCTGTAAGTGCGCTTAAAGGAAAACCAGCACGAAATGTTTAAAACGTGGCACAAATGCAAGCAAAATTATTTAGTAGCTTCATTTCGATGACAGATCTTTTGCAGCTGCAGTCCTCTCTAATCGTTTTTCGATTTCGTTTTGAAATTAACTTAATGTTTGCCTGTTTTTCCAACAATTTTTTTTTTTTTGTTTCTTTTTTTGCTCTATGCACTCACCTTCATCATGAACTTGAGTGCCCATGCAGCTGTAGCCTCTTGATTTGACAGGAAACGAGGCGAAGTTTTAAGCGCGCCTCATTTCAATAGCCTTCTAAACTTAACGAAGCACAAATATTTGGCAGCTGTTTCAGACTTAATTCATAGCCCTCTGTTGTTAAGGCCATTGAGTTTTTTTCGAATGACATTTGGCATTTTTTTTCGGTTTGCTCGTAACGCTGATTGTATTTCGGTCCATATCAAAAGTAATACAATTAATGGGCATGTTCACGAAACAATATTCCGATATCGACAGACTATACTCGTATAAATATGTATTGTGTTTTTATAACTCCTCTTTGTGGGACTAGCAAAAAGTTTTCATATCCTGCGTTAAGTATTTAAGAACATGCTGTTTAAACGGTCTACAGAAAGGCTTATTGGTAGCTAAGGGTCGTCACCAGGAAGGGGACGTATTGCTGATATATCCATAGAAAACATTTCGACAGGTTTCTTGCCTTAAAGGATGCCAACAAACGATTTATGTACTCTTATTGATGATCTGTATTCGGTTCTCAAGTTCTCAAACACTTTATACAATGTGTCATCATTGTAGAAAGAGTTTTTGAGAGATACAAAATGCATTCTATTTGAACACTGTCTAACACTAAACCGTTAAAGAAACCGTCAGAGAAATCTTCATTCTGGCAATGTTGCTTTATTTATCATTGAAGATAATATCTAAGAAATGGAAAATAATTGTGGATTACAAAATTGTACAAAATTCCAAGTATAAATCTTTATAAGTTTCTTATTGTTAAAAAAGAAAAGAGTTTTTGAGAGATACCAAATGCAGTCTATTTAAACACTGTCTAACACTAAACCATGAGAGAAATCTTGAAGGTAATATCTAAAAAGTGGAAAATAATTGTGGATTACAAATTGTTCAAAATTCCAAATATAAATCTTTATCAATTTCTAATTTTTAAAAAAGAAAAGAAAGAGTTTTTGAGAGGTACAAATTGCATTCTATATGAACAGTGTCTAACACAAAACCGTTAAAGAAACCGTCAGAGAAATCTTCATTCTGGCAATGTTGCTTTATTTATCATTGAAGATAATATCTAAGAAATGGAAAACAAGAGAGAACGCTACAGTCGAGCAAGCCCGACAGTGTAATACCCTGTACCCAGGTAAACTTCCGTCACTGGGTTATATGCGCCCATAGCAGCAGCAAAAAGAGGAAGAAGAAGAGCGAACTTGTTGCTGCAGTTTGTGGGGGTTGTACTGGCGAGAATTTGTTTCGCTTATAACTTTTCTTAGAATTGACCGAATTTGATAAACAACAGTAGATAATTATATATAAATTATGTGTGCAAAGTTTGGTTTAGGTAGCATTTGAAATGTGGACGCTATTGACGAAATTCTGTAGCGGGGGAAGGGGGGAAAAATTCCAAAAAATAAAATAAACTCGTCCTTACTCGGACCTAGGAGAATCTGGATGCCAACTTTGGTTATTCTAGCTTTTATAGTTTCTGAGATCCTCGCGTTCATCCAGACGGACAGACGGACGGACAGACGGACAGACGGACGGACATGTCTAGATCGATTTCTCTCGTCATGCTGATCAAGAATATATATACTTTATGGGGTCGGAGATGCTTCCTTCTGTATGTTACATACTTTGCACAAACCTAATATACCCTTTTTACCCTACGGGTACAGGGTATAATAATTGTGGATTACAAAATTGTACAAAATTCCAAGTATAAATCTTTATCAGTTTATTATTGTTAAAAAAGAAAAGAGTTTTTAAGAGATACCAAATGCAGTCTATTTAAACACTGTCTAACACTAAACTGCCAGAGAAATCTTGAAGGTAATATCTAAAAAGTGGAAAATAATTGTGGATTACAAATTGTACAAAATTCCAAATATAAATCTTTATCAATTTCTAATTTTTAAAAAAGAAAAGAAAGAGTTTTTGAGAGATACAAATTGCATTCTATATGAACACTGTTTAACACAAAACCGTTAAAGAAATCGTCAGAGAAATCTTCACCCTGGCAATGTTGCTTTATTTATTATTGCAGATAATATCTAAGAAATGGAAAATAATTGTGGATTACAAAATTGTACAAAATTCCAAGTATAAATCTTTATCAGTTTCTAATTTTTAAAAAAGAAATGAAAGAGGTTTTGAGAGATACCAAATGCATTCTATTTGAACACTGTCTAACACTAAACCATGACAGAAATCTTCATCATGCTACTTATCATTGAAGGTAATATCTAAAAAGTAGAAAATAATTGTGGATTACATAATTTTGTACATAATTCCAAATATAAGACTATATTAGTTGCCTTATAAAAATGTGAACAATTAACGATTTTCTAAAATTAGTTCTTGAATATAAAATAAAATGGATTATCAGGATTATCATATCAGTTTTTGTAGGTACTATTTCGGTTATAACTCGTATAATTTGTAGTACTACGATCTCAGTGGCATTCTCCTCAAGCTTATCTTTATTTAAAAGCTTTATCTAGATAGAACACTTCTAAACTAAATACGCCGGATGTGTGTTTTTTGCCAACATATGTACATACTCGTAAAATGTAAAATTGTATTTCGATAGTTAAATTAAGTAAAATAAGACCCTAAACATTCAACTTATGTTCTTGTGATTGTATGTATAGAAAACTAGTAGTTTCTCCTTTTTGTTACCAAATTTGATCAATATATAGTATTTGTACAGTATTTGTATATATGCTTTGACTAGCTCAAATTTTAAAGAACATATTTATAAATTTTATATTTTTACAAGGTACTTTCGGGATCAGCAAATGTATTTCAGGTTTCTTCTGTGATGAACTCCTCTTTTTTAGGCGGATAAAATAGTGTGAGAATGCACTAAAAGCTTTATATAAGTTACATTTAATGAAAAACTGGCTATTAAAATCAATTATATTTTTCTAAAAGTATTATCTATTGATTGTAGCATAAAAGGGCGGATATTTTAATAGTTGTATGATCTCACACTTTAAGATTATAACGTACTTTATTGTTCTTCACAATCTTTCTTTATTCTTTTAGGCAGCCTTATCACTAAATCCTGGCGCTCCTACATGGACGAATTGGACCAGCAGGCGCGACAGTTCAAGTTCAATGCCGAACAACTGGAAGTTGTTTGCGACAAGCTGGCGCATCTGTCACAGGATAAACGTAAAGCCCGTAAGGCCTATCAAGAGGAACACGCCAAAATTGCGGCGCGCCTCAATCATGTAAGTTTGAATCGCATTTTGTATGTGTATGTGTGTACTTCTATATACAACTGTATTTTGTATTTGTATGAATATGTGTATATGAGATGCATTTAAAGCCACTGCAGATAACAAAAGGAACCCCAAAAAAGTCAATCCGAGAGCGACAAGTTGTTTCGCATTTATATGCGTTTTACTTGCGGCGCATTATTTATATTTATTGATTTATCATTTAGATTTAAATGGTGGCGCAAAAACAACCACAATTCCAATGGCAGTCCACTCTGGGCTCCAAATACGAATGCCTTGAACTTACTCCACTCCCCTTAGCAAACGCTTGACGCTTGAGTTATTGAATTATTTACGTGTCGGCTTTGTTGGCTTTGAGGAGCGCAGCAATTCTGACGAAAAACATTGAATAAACACCAAATAAATAAATAAATGAGCAAACATATGCACACTGAAGGTCCAAATAATAGCCTTGGCCAACTAAAATTATTCGATCTGTCCTGTTTGGAACATACAAGTACACAAAATTAGTGTTTTATATTTTAAAAATGGAACCGTGGAGTTGCATTCGAAGCTACATGAAAAACTACCTGGGTCCATTGTCGCACCTTATTGAAAAATAACACCGTCTCTTCTTGTTCAATTATATGTCGCATCATTTAATACCTATAGTGTTGTACTATTCTTTTAAGATAGGTTTCTTTCTGAATATCTGACAGTTATTTATAAAAATCTGATGTACGATACCCTGTTGATCGAGGCGATAAATAACTTTTATGAATAGGCTTATAAGCAATCATGGTATGGGAATTGGCCTAGCTTAAATTTTTGCCGACAGTGTGAATTGTTGTTGCTAATGCTTCCATAACAATTGCGTCTGCGAAAATAAGGTAGAACATGTCAGTCCGAAGATTGTTGGTATTTAAGCAGCTTAAGCGCTTGTAAACACTCACCGGGAACACCAAACTGCTTTGTTATAGTAAATCAATAGAAGTGTGTGTTTATTTATGAGCCGTGGCGCACACACAGGCACAGACATAACCACTCGGCTCCTCTACTCGTTCCGAAACAAGTTTATTAACCCGCCAGGCGGAGTTGAAAAGGGTAGCAAAAACCGAAGCCAAAAAGAAAGAAAAGCCAATAGCCGCAGCCACAGCCATAGCCACAGAAAACAGGTCTGCGGCGACTTAACTCATTTCCAAATTTTCGAGTGCTGACACTATTGGCTTCTTTATAAGACATTTGAATTAAGATGGAGCACAAGTTTGACTGACTGTTTGGCAAAAGATACACATTCACACTCACATCCATAGAAACACGTGCGCCATGCTGCAAGCGGAAATATCAAGCAACGGTCCCTGCAATGGCGGCTACAAATTGTGTGAACATTTTCGCTCTTGTTGACCCAGTAAAAATGTTGTTGTTGTTGTTGGTGTTGCTATTGTTGTGCTCGTTTCATATTTTCACGCTTTGCTTTTGCTAAATATTTATTTGCGACTGTTTTATGTCTTCCTGCCCCGCCATGCGGCGGCCTTTGTCAAAGATAAACAAACATGCGAAAGCAACATCAAGAAAAACAACAAATCGGAGCGTTCACGATATATATAATAGTATTTTCGACTACTATACAGCACATGTATACATAAAAGTACATAGGTATTTTTCTTTAAAGTCTTGTCTTTCGAAGCTGTTTGGCTTCGTTTGCTGTCGTATTTTGTTATTATTATTGTTTATTTGGCAAAAATGACGCAGTTTCGAAAGTAGATCGTAGAAGACTGAGGGATAACTCCGCTGCCAATCAAAATGACAACAATTTGTGAATAATGTTGATTGAGAAAGATTTATTCATATGCGTTCGATATTACCTGACCCTGCAACTGACTCATATTTGTTGCAAATACTAACGATTGTCAAAAACCAAAGATAAATTCCTTAATTTTAAAATCCAGATCGATAGAAAAGGAATACGGTACTTCAAGAATTATTATTGGCATAAGCTTACATATCAGTGAAGTGCATATGGATGCGACTTAGCCGAAGATATCGTACTACAAGTATACTGTCTCGTGTATTGTTCCGAAACTCTACCAGTGTTCTTGGTGCACACGAAATGCCAGTCAATCAATTACTTATAATCGAATCCAAATCAAAATAGCTACAAGACATAGAAGCCCTTGGGCAGTCAGCAGTGGCTTCTCAAAGTTGAGCAGAACCCAGAATATTAAGTGAACAGATGCTCGGAGCAAAGAGTGCAAAAAGAAATTCTAGACAAGATGTCGGAAACGAAGCGGGATGGGGCGGGACTGAGCAATAACTCGGGCTTTTTTCTCCACAAATTTGGACTTTGACTTTTAATATTTGCGCAACGGCTTGAATACACACACACACGCACACACACAGGCACACACGCACACACACACACAAATAAGATGTGGTCTTGCTGAGTGATGTAGAGAGGGAGGGAGAAGAGTTGTTGTTGGTGTTGTTCGTATTGTTGTTGATTTATTAAGTGGCTCTAAATGGGGGCAACAGCTGAGCTCTGAGTCCGGCTGTTGTTTTTGTTGTGGTCGCCTTCTTCAAATGCAAGTGCAGTTGGAAAGTTTACAAGAAGAATGGTATTGGTGTCACTTGTTGTGGATAAGCATTGGATATGGACAGTGGTTAGTGCATCATACGAGCATGCTTGTGTATATTTTCATATACTTGTATACAAGGGCGTAGCCAGCTTTTACCAAAGGGGTGGAGGCCAAAAAATTAAAATTTTGATTAAATAATGCCCGATGCATTTAAAAAAAATTTATGCATATGATCGATGAAAACACTTCAACAAATCCAACGCAGATCCATCTTAAGGCAAAATAGTGCGTCACAATAATGAACGTGTGGTCGATCAATGAAAAAACTTGAACTTCAATTTTAAGGCGAACAAGTAAAAAAGCTAATGTCCCGACTTTGAAATACTCTGTACATATGTATGTTTAGAATAAATATAGAAATTAAAAAAAAAGTAAGAGAGTTAAAAAAATTTTTTGATCGATTTGACATCTTTTGGTATTCGAACTCACGTAAAGGGTGTATAATTGCACATATACATAGCAATTGCGTCTGTGTGAGTGTATGTATGTTTATGCGCGTCTATTTGTGTCTGTGTAAGCATTTTCGCAGTCAACTAAACAGCAACATCAACAACAGCCGCGGGCAGCGCTTGGGCAGCGCTTGGGCAGCGCTTGAGCAGCGCTGCAGCAGCAAATATATTTATGGCTATAACTTCTTGTTAAATCGGTCTATCATAATGAAACTTGGCATACGGACACATAATAACTAACTGAAGGCATTTGCAAAATTTGCATTCGATTCCAAGAATTACGGGAGTTAGAGAAAATCGCGATTTGCATGGGAGAGGAGGGTGATAGGGAAATTCCAAAATACACATTTTCTGCGTATTCATATAAGGCATCTGGGACTTAAATTTAGTGTCCGTAGGTCTTTTAGTCTCCGGGATATAGGCGATTATACGAATGGAAAATCGGGAAAACCCCGAAATTTGTGCAAAGTTCGGTGTCTCTACCTCTTATAGTCTCTGAGATCCAGGTGTTCATACGGACAGACGGACAGACAGACAGACAGATAGGGCTAGATCGACTCGTCTCGTCATGCTGATCAAGAATATATATACTTTGTGGGGTCTGCCACGCCTCCTTCTGCCTGTTACATTTTCAGCTCCCGCAAATCTAATATACTCTTGAACATTTTATGTACAGAGTATAAAAAGTGCGTTATAATAATGAACTACGCCATTGGATGAAAGTCTAGGACATTGTTGTTTGCTTTATTTGAAAAAAAAGTTAATAAAAAGGACTAAAATGTCGCTCTTCTGAATTTGTTTAATATGTTTATTGCTTGTAAAAGCATATTATTTTGATCACAAAGTTCGTCTTATCAGGTAATGCAAGTAATAAATAAACAGTTATACGTTTACTGGACAAAACCAATAAACGCATAAAATACAAGTAAATACATATATTATAATACTGAGCCCTGCAGTATTAAACTGTATAATTCAACACTTGATTTCCAAGAGCATTACATAAGATTTCATTACTTATTATTATGTTAAATTTAGAAAATTTACTCAATTAGCACATTCTTTAACACTTATCAAGAAATTTCCATTTGATTGTCTAAAAACTATGGGCACTTTTACAAACAAACAAATAGACTGGCGTAATATTCGAATACTTCTTTTAATAAATCAATCGGAAAAATGAAATTATGTAACCGAAAAACCAACAAATCGTTGGCAATATTTAATTTGGACGAATCTGGGAGCTGCGGCTTCCCAAATGAAAAGCAAACTAGAGGTACCAATTTTTCCAACACGACAACTACGAAATGCTTGACAAGATATTGGACCAACCACCGCTATTATTAATTGTCAAGACTTAACAAAATGTCCCACACTCATGGCCAACACACACAAATAGTCCCGCTTACTGCACTAATGGATACGGAATTGGTTTAATGTGTCTTGTTTCTCCTGCCTTCGAATATTTGCGTCGCACGCGCCCCCGCATGTTGAAAATGGAAACCCATTAGGGCAATGCAGGCATTCTTCTACAATTTGACTTCCGGGTGGCTCTTCCCCTTTTTCAAATGTCAGTGGAGGCCACACAACGACAACGACAATGACATCGACATCAACATCAACATCGACTCTTCTACGGCTTCCCTCTAGCCATGCAGCATTTGTATTGATAAACCGCATCAGGCGTGCTAAAATGCGCATTCATCTCAGAGTTTAGTTCCACATCTGAGATATGTACATTTCTAACTAATTCTTGGCATTGAAACCAACGTAAAAAGCGCCTTCGACTTTTGCATTTGTTGCGGCCGTGCGTATTAATTACAATAAGTTCAATTCAAGTATCTTTATGGCTCGTAGACTTACACATGTACAAGTACCGAGAGCAACAAACAGCAACAACAGCAATAGGCCGACGTGCAGTCGCTTC